AATGACATTTTAGTGGGTCTCTTCTGTAAATCAGGGAAAATGTATATTTATTTTTTGCTCAGAAAAACTAAAACAAAGTTGCAATTAAATTAAACAGAAATGTTTTAACTTTTTGGGGGGAAAAACAACAACAATTTAAAGCAGTATTACACTTATTGTTTATATGTTTAAACCCTTTTTCATCTTTGACCCATATATATTTGTCTGTGTGTGTGTACTTATATAAAAATGTATACATACAGTTAGGTCCATATATATTTGGACACTGACACAATTTTCATAATTTCGGCTCTGTGTGCAACCAGAATAAAATTAAAATGAAATAATCAAGATGAAATTGAAGTGCATACTTTAAGCTTTAATTCAAGGGTTTGAACAAAAATATAACATAAAATGCTTAGGAATTACAACCATTTTTATACACAGTCCCCCCATTTTCAGGGGCTCAAGTGTAATTGGACAAATAAATATAATCATAAATTAAATGTTCATTTTTAATATTTTGTTGAGAATCCTTTGCAGGCAATAGCCGCTTTTCCACAGTGGGGCCAGTGCTTTCATGGGGCTTATAGCTAATAGCACCGAGCCCAGAATCACGCTGCGCTTCACTAAAACACGCTTCTCTGACTGGAACAACGACTCTCGAAACACCATTGGGCTTGAGGAGCAATGTGAGCCCTGAACGTCACGCAACCCCATCATTCCTCCAACAAAGAGGAGTTATCATAGAACTAATCAGAAATAAGTCACTGGAACTAGCCAGATCACAAAACACACATGATAAGAGCGGACGATTGTTTGCATTTTTTGTTGTCTACTTACAGATTTAAATACAAAAGCAACGATGTGTTACAATAATAAGTGATACATTGATCATAATGAATTAATTTGTCAGGATTGAAAATTAGTCACAGAAATAAAATGGTATTTACCGTTATTACACAAAAGAAAGAGGGCACATACTTCAGTCGCATCGGTTTCTGTTTATTTGTAGTCACAGTATACATCACGAACTAAAACTATGATTAGCCTATATATATTTTATGACATTCGTGGAGCTAAATATGAACATCAGACAGTCAGATATAAAGAGACAAGACTTACTGACAGATGAAATATGTTACTAAATAAATAAACGACTGTGATAGCCTATATTTTTCTGTTTTCTTCATGCGGTCATGTTTACCATGTTAACTATGGTAATGGCTAGCGTAGTCTTTTGCATCACTTATAAATATTTCTGCCTTGTATGGTGATCATAATCCACGTATCTCAAACAGAAGTTATTTCAAACACTCGCTGCTGTCTGAAAGTGAGTTTTGAGCTCAAATGATTGTAAGAGTCTTTACTGCTGGTGTTATAGCTGTTAATTCTATGCAATGATCCGCGGCGCTGACGCTCTCCAGATGCGGAGAAACTCCTCCTTTGCTCATAGCCACTCCTCTAGCCCCAGCTGGCCCAAGCAAGAAATCCCAGCCATTGGCCCCCGAGGAAGCCCTGCTGAAGTGAAATCCTAGCTGTTGGCCCCGAGGAAGCCCCGCTGAAGTGAAATCC